AGCCTAAATGTTTCACAGCTGCAGCACAAATCCCAGTCAAACATGTTGTCAGCCTGTTTCCAGTGAGACAACAACAGGAAACTGATTCTGTGTTTTTAGCACTTGGTTGCAGGAAAAACAAGCTTTTAAAGTAGACTCTTGTTTCTCTATAACACATCCGTGCACACTCAGTGGATGTTTGTTAAACGCGACCAAAGGTTCGAATGAGGTCAGTTCATGTGTGCGTGTGCACGTGCACGCATGTGTGCGCGTGTGTGTCTGTGTGGTCAAAGATTTTACTGAGAATTATGTTTAAATATCAGTAACAATATTGTTTCTTCTTCTCTGTCTGCAGGAATCAGCCGAAGGTAAATATGATGTGATGGAGATATTAATCACACATTTATGGTCCGTGTGCACGTTACAGACGTGTCGCGTGTTTTCTGCAGGTCTTTGCGTACGACTACTGTTTCTGGTCTATGGACGACTCTCAGAAAGACAAGTTTGCAGGTTGGTACGTTTTCAGTGGTTCATGTCAGTCTGTTCACAAACGTCTCCTGATACTCTGAACTATTGATGGAGCTGAGACAGCGACCCTGGGGGGGCTGGGGTGAACGTGGGGGGGCTGGGATGAAGGGGTTACACACGGCGTCACACTCAGTCTGAAAACAGCAGAATTGTTCTTCCTGTCATCTCGTTCGTGTTAAGTTTGTCTGATTTCAGCAGTTACAGTCTGAGTTTCGTGTGCAGGGCAGGACGTGGTGTTCCAGTGCCTGGGGGAGAGTCTGCTGGACAACGCCTTCATGGGCTACAACGCCTGCATCTTTGCTTACGGGCAGACGGGTAACATTTCACAACAACTTTAAAATAAGATAAGATACGAGGAGCTGCACATCCTACCGCAGCATCACATGTTTCCATTTGTACGAGAATCATCGCTCCTGTGTCAGACTTGAATGAAGCGACTTGAATCTGAACAGGATTTGACTGTTTGTGACGTTTAGTTCTCAGTAGTTTGATCATAGAGTCACTGCAAAGCTTAGTTTCTGTACTTCACACCACAGTAACCTGTTTCACGCGGTTTCTGTCTGAATGCCGAGTGTCTCCTGACACACGTGGGTGCTGACCTGTTGCACATATTGGCTCTGGAGGAAAGCGATGGCACATCTTACTCTCGCGGCACGCTTCATCTACATGATGAAGTAATGATGCTGTGGCTGATGTTGTCAGGACGGCATCTTCTTTGCCATTTTTCCATCTGCTGAACCAAAACAAGCAGATGAACTTTTGATTAACGGGCGATGCAGGCTCGGGCAGGCTCAGCCCCGCCCACAGCGCCCATCAGCCTCGTCTGTCAAACAGCTGCAGGGTTCAACACAAGCCTGGCTCAGCAGCCCCCCC